TCTGTCTGTCTGTCTGTCTGTCATCTATCATCTATCTATCTGTCTGTCATCTATCTATCTATCTGTCTTTCTGTCTGTCTGTGTCTGTCTGTCTGTCTGTCTATCTGTCTATCTATCTGTCTGTCTGTCTGTCTATCTATCTGTCTGTCTCTCTTTCCACCCGTCTGTCTGTCTGTCTGTCTGTCTGTCTGTCTGTCTCTCTTTCCATCCATCTGTCTGTCCACTTACCATGTTCACTTGGCAGCATAGTATAATATCTGTATAAATGTCTATATAATGTAATGTAATAAGTTATGAAGACTGTTGTGAAGAAACGTGGGATCTAGCTGAGACATTATTATTATTATTAGTTTTTCTGCCACAGGTGCTGTGTTCCTTGTGAAAACAAAGTACACTTAGCATACTTTTTTTAACGTATGCTAAGTGTATGATTACAATATCTGTACTATTTACAGAAATAATATACTTTTCTTTGCATGTTAATTGCAAATGCGTGAAAATGTATTAGAGTTTAAATTCATATTAAATACAATTAGTTGAACTTAAGAGTGCTTTTGACACTTACATATCGACACAAGTACATTTTTATATTTCGTTTTGCAATTACTTCTTTTGCCTTAGAAATGTGGTTGAACTGGACTATTAAGTGTTTTTTTTTTGTATAAAAAAAAATAAACTTTTCTATTGAAACTTGAAGTATTTTTTATATATTTTCTTAATTACATTGTAATGATGAAGTTGCAATTTAGTACATTTAAAATATATTAACTTTAAATGTACAGTAATATCAAATAACTCACTTCGGTTCAAATTAAGATCAAGCACTTTACATGTGTTTTAGTATGTTAGTCAACACTTCAAAATAAGTGCACTTCTTTGAAGCATTCAAGCAAGCAAGATTATTAAAACATAATTTAAAAACTAAAACTTTTAAATTGACTAAGTGTGTTATAAAACAGTCGTGAAAGTTAAGTACACTTAAGTGGCCTTTTATGTCATTATTATTATATTACCTGCAAGTACAGATCTGAAGTGCACATACAATACAGTTAAGCACACCGCTTTCTCACAAGTGTTAGTTTAGTGGTTAATAATCGGAGGAATTGGTTGTGTGCTGATCAGAGCACTTGACCTGAGGAATTCTTCCTCTAGTGAATGTAGGTTTAGAGAGGAGAGAGTTCGTCTGAATGAATCTCAGTCACATATTTAGCTGGCTATTGCTGTTGTTGTTGCTCACCGCTCATAGAGGAGTCGTTTATCCTGAGAGTGTGTCACATCTTTCATACAGATCTTCAACAGAAGGAACGTCAATTTCAAAATAACAGGTTTTCCACATTAGATTTCACTCTCTTGTTCGAATGAAACCGTTTTCAACACGCAGTAAAACCGTGATGACTGTGTCTGTTGTCCTCAGAGATTCAGTTCACCCTAAAGCGCCTCCAGGCACCAGGTGGAAGGAAGTTCGTCATGATAATAAAGTCACGTGGCTGGTGTCGTGGACGGAGAACATTCAGGGCTCCATCAAATACATCATGCTCAACCCCAGCTCCAGAATCAAGGTCAGAAACAGCACATACTAAATGTGTCCAACATAATTTGTTCGCAAAATAATATGACGCGTACCACACCGAGACTGAAGCATCCTTCCGTATTCACCTGTGTAATTGTGTTATACTGTATATATATATATTATTGTGTGTTATAATGGGAACGCTGGCCATAGCAGGTGCTTTGAAGTACAGCAGTCCTCTTAAAAATCTTGATGGACTAGTGGCAGTAATCTCAAAATCACTAAATATTAGAATATTTATTGGCCAGTCACTTCTTTTAATACTAGTAATGTCCCATTTGCAAGCAGTCTGTCTCTTAAATTTTTTAGTTTAATTATTTGGTCAAATTGACAGAAAGAGGAGAAGATTTCTTTAGTTATTCTGCAAGGATGAATTAAATCTATAATGTCACAAAAGATTTCTGTTTCTAATAAATGCTGTTCTTCTGAACGTCCTGTACCTCAAGGAATCCTGGAAATAATGTATCACCATTTCCAACATTGATAATAATCAGAAATGTTACCAAATCAGCATATTAGAATGATTTCTGAAGGATCATGTGACACTGAAGACTGGAGTAATGATGCTGAAAATTCAGCTGCACATCACAGGAATAAATTACATTTTAACATACATTCACTTAGAAAACAGCTATTTTAAACTATAATAATATATCACAATATTTGTCATGATCTCCAGCTGGAGTGCCCATGAGCTCCTCTAGAGGGCACTCCATTTTGTACCTTGCCATTCACTCAGGACTCTATTTCCCATAATCCTTTGCCCGGACTCATCAAGTGCATCACCTGTCTCTCATCAGATCTCATCATCAGTTCACAGCTGTCTCACATTAGTAGGACTATAAGAATAGCACACACACTCTGGTGATTGAATGTTGTATAGCTCTTCCGTGGTTTCTAGTTTCTCTGTTTCCTTGCCTTCGTGTTTTGATCCCTGGACTGTTTTCTTGTTTATGATTGTTTTGCTGCCTGCCCTGACCATTGCCTGATTATCTGGATTACTCTTTTGCCTTGCCACTGCCATTGTTGTTTGCTGTTGTTGACCACGCCTGTTTGACTACGCTCTTATTAAAGCCTTGCATTTGGATCCCCACTTTGTCGTCACGCCTGCCTCGTTACAATATTACTGTTGTGACTGTATTTTTAATTAATGCAGCTTTGGTGAGCAGAAAAGACATTATTTCGAAATTCTTACTGACTGCAAACGTTTGAACGACAGTGTATATTGAGAAACTTATGTATTAAAAGCAGTATTTATAGGAAAAAAGAGCTTTTGAAATGCCAACGAGGGGCTTCTGACAACAATTTTAAGCAATGATTAAAATGAATTGATTTTGAATCCGTTCAGTGAAATGCATTCGCTGTAATTTCTATAAAGCTTTATATTTTTGCGTGTGTCTCAGGGAGAGAAGGACTGGCAGAAGTACGAGACGGCGCGGCGGCTGAAGAAGATCGTGGAGCGCATCCGAGCGCAGTACCGCGAGGACTGGAGGAGCAAGGAGATGAGGATCAGACAGAGAGCCGTCGCTCTGTACTTCATTGACAAGGTCTCACTTCATCACACAGGCCAGCTGTTACATTCACTACATTTGCTTTCTGGGAGCAATAAAGTATAACTGGTCTAATCTTGTGCTGAAGTGAACTTTCATAATCTACCTGTCACATGGTACGCAATCAGGGAGAACAGAAACAGGTGAGGAGTAATCAAAGATAATTAATAGAACACAGCAGAGACAAATAAACATAATCAGGACAGGAACTGGAAGGAAACCAAATAAGGGCATACAGAAACAAGAGGCAGGAACTGAGGGAGAACCAAACAAAAACAGACCATGTGACAACGTGACACTGCACTTATTTATTAGGTAATTGGTAGCATTTTAGATTAGGGAACATCATTCACTTTTAACTAGTTGCTTATTGGCTGTTTATTAGTACTTATAAAGCATGCATTAATGCCTTATTCTGCATGTTCATGTTTTAGATCCTTTAATCCACCCTTTACCTACATTTAACTATACTAACTATTAATAAGCAGCAAATTAGGAGTTTATTGAGGAAGAAACTCTTAGTTAATAGTGAATACGTGTTCTCTAATCTAATGTGTGGGCAGGTAACTTTTTCCTTATAATAATATACTGTATATCAGTGGTCCTCAACTGGTTGCGCTTCAAGGCCCAGATTTTAATTGTCCCACAAAAATACAATTATTACAAAATTATTAGTAAACAAAAATGTACTAAATCAAACATTTATTTCTCGTTACCAAAATGTATTAAAATGATTAATATAGGCTGAAATTAATTCAAATTTTTAAATGTTTACAGTATTAATACCTGCAGCCAATAATTCATCAAAACATATTTATGAGTCATATTTGTTTCGCAACCTAGCCGTGTTGGCATCTGCCTAATCACTTCGACGTAGTGAATTTAATTGTTGCACATAATAAATCCTGTTTCCTTGATGAAAGTTGATGAACTTATTTTTTTAGTTGCATTGTATTTATTTTTAGCATTGATTTTTTTTCCCTGTGATATATGACGTGTAATTCAATTAATAACGTTTTTTCGCACCATTTTCACCTTCTCTCTGACCCTTAGAATTAAACTAAAGCTAAACTAATAACCGTTTTATAAAAGCAATAAGCCCCATGATGCCGTGGTTTACAGTGAATTTATAACAGCTAAGGGGCATTGTTAGGCACGACGCGAAGCGAAGTCCTTAGCTGTTATAAATTCACTGTAAACCACGGCTTCTTGGGGCTTATTGCTTTTATAAAACGGTTATTCCATATACGTAGTTAGGTTTCGCAAAATAAAACCGAGCAAATAAAGTGTAATGATATTAATAAAAACAGTATTGGTTGCAACAAAGTGGTTGCCGAGCAGCACACAGAAGTAAACAAAGGTGTATAGAGTAATTTACAACAGCTTCGAACGTATGGGATTACAATTCTGCCACAATTCTGCGTGCGAAAGATCATATTTTGAGCACGCAAAAGTGCGTTTTGCACGCGCGCGAACTGAGTTCATTTCACT